CCACGCGCCAAGTTTCACTGTCCATGCTTTAGATCCTGAAATTTGTCTGTTAATCAAGAAATATCCAGCATATTGATCTTCTTTTAAAATTACTTGATCTAACACATTGAACTAGTATTTATAAAATTAAAAAATAAACTAAAGCCACAAGTTCTTAGTGTGTAGTTCTATGATATAAACGAATATATGTGTGCTGGAATTTATTGTGTAATCACCATTCTTCTAAATTGTATAGATCATAAAATGTGTTATAGCTTCATCTCAACCAGACAACTACATCTGACAGTTAATATTTTGTTATATTTATGAAATGTGGATCCGTGTTCAAATGCATTTCCTCTTTCCTTTGTCTCTCTTGGTGGAACAGTCATTTGAATGTAGTACAAGTGTAGTTTAGAAATTTATTGTATACTGCATTTCACAAGTAGCTTTTGTAGATGTCTATGGAAGTAGGAAAACATTTAAAACTGTCATAATCTGTTATCATAATCTATTTCATATATGTTCAGGATGAAATTCTCATTTGAAGAATTTTGGCAGAGATCTGGTGGAGTCAGGGAGACATGCAACCATTAATAGAGGAAGTTGTCCTGAAGGTATCCAAATGGGGTTTTGACATCGAAAGAACTTCACATGCCGAGGAAGTTTCAAACAAGAAGCATACTTCTTTGGTTGGAGTGCATGTACAATCAGGAAGAATATGAATACGTTCTTCTTTGTGTACTTCTGTTATTATGTTCTGTGTTTTCTATCATTATTTCTACAATATATTCTATTATTAGTTGCCATATACTACTTATGAGATACATGAAATTACCACTTTTTGGTGTAGGCCTCAATTTATTTCTGACATTCTGCAGGCTAAATTGTAGATTTTGAAAGTTGTCAGGAATGTGTTGAAATAAATAGCAGACTTAATTACATATCAGTGGCATCTTTTAAAATCAAAGATTGTTTATAGATATTCTACCAGCTCGTAGCACAATTTAGATCATTGATGTACTTATCCAAGTTTTTAAATGGATTCGATCTAAATCTTACTTGAGCTAAACACAAATTTTGAATTTATTATGTACCACAGAAAAGAAAAAGAAAGAAGCATAATCATAAAATTCTTCTTCCTTCTGTTGTAACTAGCAGAGTTCATGTTCATCTATTTTTTTACCTTCAACTCAACTTGTTACTTGTTTGAGTCTTAGTTCCCTTTTTAATTTTAAACTGGGATTGGATGATAGAGTGGTCCCGCCATCAATGACGGGCCTTGTCAGAGACAGTAATCTATAAGCTTCCAAACGAGGGTCACTTCTACTAATAGTTAATTTGAATAAATTTCTTCAAAAGTATTATTAAAAAAATAAAAATAATTTTTTATAAGTTAAAATTAATTTATATAAAAATTAATTTGTAATTTTTTTTAGTGAAATTATATGGAGAATTTTTATAAATTTATTTATGTATAACCTAATTTTAGTTTATCAAAAAAAAAATCATTTTTCTTCCTAAAAAATATTTTTAAAGAAGTTTATGCAACCATACCATATTTTTTTCTCTAACGAGTTCCATAGGACGATTTTTTTTCCACTCTTTTTGGAACCCCACATGGCCCGGTTGAACACGAGGAAACTGCATTGGAGAGAAATATGGAAGATGTTTTACAAGTATACATTTCTAACACGAATGATACCAAAACTACTAATATATATAAACAACACAACCTAGGAAGGATGTAAATAACACAGGCAGCTCCTAATCCTATGCATGGTAAAGCTTCAAAGGAGAGAAAATTCTTTACGATTTTTAAAATTTTGAATCATAAGAGGTTTAAAGGTATAGGTAAAAGTGCCACCTACATTGTTTTTCTTTCCTAATCTTCCCTCTTTCTAAGCAAACAATATCTTAGCTGTGTCTGACATAACAGTCTGGTCCGATCAGATTGTTTCTTCCACTGACCGTTAACTGATCAGCTGCAAAATCCTGTCTACTTGAACCTCCTTTTATTGATCTTCTTTTTTGAGTCTGACTATTTTAAGGTTAAGGAATCAATCAATAAATATTTTTATTGAAAATGTATGAGTAACATTAAATGTTACAATTTTCTGCAACAACTTTCCAGTTTTAATTACATTTTCCTTTCTTTTATCATGTTCTCTTCATTTCAATTGGATTGTGCTTTCTTTTAGTCTGGTTGGATATTCAGAATGGGTTCAATGCTTCAACAGTTCAACTAGTCACCAAATTGCACATGTTTCTTTACACTGCAGATAACTGGAATCAAGTTAGTAAGTAGTCATTACTCCCATCATTTATAAAGTTGATCCATCGTAAATATGACTATTGCTCTTTCCGCCAGGATCCATGACGGCTTGATCATTGGTGTTGTGTAGGGACTAGAGTTGGTGTTATTGTTTCAAATTCATATGGAATCACATTTATTATGTTTCTTGTTTATATAAAGGATGTTTGAGGAATTCAGTAGTCTTCACACTATGGTAGTATTTAAAAGAAAAAACATGCTTAGGTAAGGAGTAAGGACCATATTTTGAAAATTACTACATATTGAAGTTTGAAATGCATTTTAGGAATATTTTAGTTTAATCAATTCTGCTATTTAAACATTAAAAATTTGACATGGTATATGACACTATATACTGTCATTTCTGTTTCTATCTCTTTTTTATACACATCTCATATGCATTTTAAACTAAATGTGACATTTTTTTGTTGCCCCATTTTTATTGTTTGCAGAACATTTTCTGCGTTTAAGACTTTAGATAAGATGGTACATGTACCTAAAGTGGAGAAAATAAAATGGATGAGGTGTACTCCTTACGTGTATCAAGATACCAACACCGGCATGATGCTTCTAGATTTGATTTCTGTTTGTCTAAAAATAATATTTGACCAACAAAAATTATATCTAATATATACAGATTAATTCTTGATCGTTAATTTTAGAATACTGCATGAATTACATCCATAAATAAAAACAAAATTATCAACTTTCGAACACTGCCTAAATTATATCCATAGACAAAAACAAAATTATTAACACCATGTCAACAGAAAAATTCTTCTGCCCTGATGGAGGGAGAACTTTTTCTTCATTCAGCTGGATCACGACTTTTTAAAAAGTAAAGGAAAGTGAATTAAAATAAAATAAAAAGATTCGGTTTATATGCTTCTTGGAATGATATAATTTTCATGTTAACCTCAGAATGAAATTTGCTTTAAACTTCAAGCGTAGAGGTGAAAAGGGAGGAAAGAAGGTCCAAGAAAAAGCTGAACAAGAAATAATATTAATGTAAAGACAAAGTAGAAACTAACATGGCACCAGAGTAAATGATAGAGGATCAAAAGAGGGGCAAACATAATAATAAGGAAAGGAAGTGGTAGTAATGATGAAAGTAAAATGCTTTGATTTTAAGCCTTCTCTACTGTCAAAGGACTACAGTCAAGTTATAATACAACCTCCACATCTCAATGAATGTACTTGCATGTTAAATTTTCTTAATGTGAAGTGTGCAAAATATTTAGTAACAAAATTTGTGAAGAGCTTGACTCAGAACAACAATTCAAATACAGATCAGTGAAATTCTATCAGACATGTCATGGGGGGAAAATATAGTGAACACAAACAAGCACACATTTGTTACGATCAAGATTTCAAGTCTTGCAAGAAGTAGACTTGAATAGAAAAAAAATTTGTTATCATATCAAAATGATATATTAAAAGATAATCTATTGGTTATATTTGGTGTTTGAATTAATTTGAAAGCAGGGATAATTGATGCTCTACTGTTTAAAGAAATAAAAGATAATCTATTGGTTATGGAATATGGATAATATTTATATTGAATTTAGAGTGAAAATTTTGTACAAAATTCACAAGCAACTTTATATCACTTACACGAATACACTTCTATATAAAACTAATAGTAGACTAATAGTATATAGAAAGATTTCTTTATCTTTATATCCTTCTAATATCTTGCTTCCAAAAACTCAATTTTCTTTTATTCCTCAGTGAACGAAAGATAATATTTTTTCTAGTACATTAAAATATGTTTAATTTCAATATAAACTCAATTATCAATTATGTATTGTTACGATAATATATCTTGATTTATATTTAATATATAAAAAAAAACAGTGAATAGTTACCGGCTTACCGCTGCGATGTATAAAAAATGCGTCAATTACTAAGGCACCTACAATATATATTTATGCTAAAAAAAGAGTAAATCCTTAAGATAGTTCTCATGGTCATGAATTGAGTATTTTAGAAATTTAGTTCTTGAAATTTTAAAAACTTTCTATTAGTTCTTTCTTATCTTCACCAGAGATAAAATTCATTTTAATCAATTTTCACTTTATTTTTCATTATCATTTTATACTAAAAAAAATCTAGAATAGATGTCAATTTATAAAAAGACTGATGAAAAGATTTTAAAATCGTTGGGACTAAGATATCCGGTCTCAAAGACTAATTTAGAGGTTTATATGTGCTAAAATTGTCCACAGCTCATACCCCTCGACAAGAGAATCCCTGGTGCTTAATTGTTTAGTTCTATTATTACAAATTTTAGTTGAAATGCCGTATCTGATAATATACTTCTTCCTCTAAAATATTCTAAAAAGCTGAGAATTTCAAATTTAGTTGGCAAAGAAATGAGGCAGTTAACATGAAAAAGTAGTGATAGAGGGAAATTACACATATTATAGTACTAATATGAGCTGGAAGTCCCCACTTCAACCACCGTTTGATGAAGTATGTATCCCAAACCCTCACCAAACACAAAGAAAGGGTTTAGTTAAAAAACTAGCAATAATTAAAATAGAAGTGCATGCTGGCACAGACCTTTTCTGTTCCACAGCTTCAGATAGACAGAGCAATAAAATAAGCTCTGACAGCAGTGTTCAGTGATGCTAATCAAGTTTACAAGGGTATTATTTGTTCAAGACTCTTGTTTTTTTATTTGATCGGTTCCATGATATCAATCTTCAAAGCAAAACATAGTATCATCAAAGAAATGAGACAATGAAATTCAATTTACATTTATGTCACAGCTAAGAATCAAGAATGAGGAACTTTGACCAGAATTATACTTGCCCTTGATTGGGGAAGCACAGAAAGGATTCGGCCAGTTCATTTGTCCTTCTGTCATTTGACCATCATGAACCACATTCCTTCCCCTCAGGGCAAATAGTGCTAAAGTAAATGAAAATACAAATTGATAAAATATAGTAAGTAAAACAATTTTCACCCCAAATCAAAAGCCTCCAAAAAAGTTAGGATACAAATAAAATAGGAGAAATAAATAAATGGAACACTCAATTTAAGTAAACTCTTTGTTTTTATTTCTTCAGTGATATTTTCAATCCTACTTTAATGCTTTCAATCCTTTGACTTGTAAGATCAACTGGCCACACCATTGTCCACAGCTAACTCTGCATTTAAGCTGCTTTCTACCTTTGGTGGCCCTGAATGGCGCCTTGGTCTGGCAGGTGAAGCTGGGAAAGAAAGACGCTTCTTTGCAGTTCCAAAAGATCCTTTCTCAGTTTTTCCATTTTCTGGGGCTAATGGACTCTGTGTCCTGGACTTGGCTTTTGCAGATTGAGTTGGCACCATGTAGCTTGGAACTGCTGGAGAGCTAGCAAGGCTCTCGTCATCTCTCACCGAAGAACCAGCAATGGAGTGCCTCCGGAACCGATCTGACTGTACACTGACCAAGCTTTTCGAGTCCTCATCTGTAATGCAGCTGCCCCTTGGGCTTGCCTTCTTTGTTTTCTTAGCAGATGATGAAGCTGGCTTGGAAGGAGTAGACTGAAAGCTTGGCGAGCCAAGATTTTGGCTGGCTGATGGAGATTGCTTTTCAGAATTGAGCTGGAAACGAGCAAATGACTTGCTGATTTCTCCACCGGTAATGCTGCGGCTTGAGCCTTTTATGGATGAATGGTCATTCAACTCTTTATCCATCTGGCCATGGCTGTCCAAAGGCCGGGTTGCCATCCATCGTTCCAACCAACTCCAACCCCATGTAGGATTGGTTGGATCCATGAACATTGGATTTACAGACCTAGATGAGTTCTTCCAGTTTTGCTGCCAAATGTTTTTTTTTCAGATATCAATTGCTGAATTTGTAACAAAAATCGAGGAACTTAAACTCTGATTGTAAATTAAATCACAGACAGACATGCTATTCATTTATATTAAGCACATAATATAGTCTGCCACATTATTTCAGTAACTAATGGCCATTGACAAAATTGAGAAAGAATTTTATGCTGCAACTTAACAAAGAATTAGCATATCATTGAATTATGCAAAAAATCACTGTGGCAATGAGAAAGGAGAGTGCATAGGTTTAAGCAGAGGATATGGCAATTAAGATAGTGAAAAGATAGAAAAGAACCATGTATTTATCAGGACAAAGTTTCAGATGGGAACGGTAATCACTTCAAGAGATAAGGGAACAACAAATAGTCAACTAACAACATAACATGAATGCTTGGTTTCTCATTTTAGTGTTTATAATATGTAATATTTTTCAAAGATATTTCAGTTCATACTAAATTTTTCATCTATTTCCTCACATGTAAATTGATGAGAAAAAGTGAAAAACCTGATGAGTGAATGCATAAGCCAGTGCCCTTTCTCTTCTCATAGCTGCCTCATACTTGCTTAGTAACTTGGCTTCGATTTGTTCTTTTGATTGTAGGCTGTCGTCCCATTCCTCTCCCATCTATTATGATAATTTGCAGCAAGTTACAAGCATTCCAAACACAATGTGTTAAAAGGTTAAGAGAACAGCATTTCAAAATAAATTCAGGAAATGAAACCAGACCCGCATGCTCTCAAGCTCTCTTGCATGTTTCTGTAAGAGCTGTCTCTGCAGAGCTTGATTCTCCTCTAACATTCTGATCCTCCTGGAACGAATCTGAGACTGCAAGCGAGATAACGTCTGCATAGAGCGGAGGGTACTTGTGGCTTGGCGTTTTACAACCGGGCCTTCCATCAATAATTTCAACCTGACCAACCCCCTTAAAGCCCGCAATGCCCTTCTTGCCTAAATGATTTAAAAAGAAAGTGTAGTTTAAAAAGTAATTCAAGTAACAATTTCTTTTGTGGCAATTATTGATTGACACTGACAGTGTCATAAGTATATGTGTATAAAGAGTACATTTAATTAAGAAGTTGTATTCAAAATTTAAAGAGTTAAATTAAAATTTGATCTATTGTTATAGTAAAACTTTTAATCAAATAGTAGACAAGAAATTGCCATATTATTTTTCTAACTTTAGTTTTTTCTCTGGTAATAAAACATTTAAAAAAATATCTACTCTCTCATCCCCTGTATTTGCATTTAACCCATTTATTATGAAAAGCAAAAGTATCCGCCTTGAATAAAAAAAAATGTTTAGTTGTTAACTAAACTGTTACTCATAAATATTAGAGACGAAATGTCAACCCTCCCTTTGTTGATCCTAATAATAATATTTGAGAAAAGGAGAAGAATGCATTCATTCAGTACGGTTGAATTAAAGGTTCCCAACCACGTGAATTAAAGGTGGAGTTGAACTAAACAAATAGGTTCTTTATAAGACTCGGTAAGAAGATGAATGGCATTAATGGCATTTGATTATAAAAAAACAAGTTAATGACCCAATTTTAACAAAGAAAAAACTTAGATGCATTTCCTTAAGTACTTTTGGTGTTGTTCTTCCATTTAAATTAGAGTTTTACATCAATAATTCCCATAATAAAGGTTCGCATTGAAGGTCAACACAGATTACCAAGCCAAAATTCCAAGTCTGATTGAAGAATAACACTAAATGCACATAGGAAAACCATATCTAAATTTTGTCCTTTAATAAATCTTTTCTAATTGATAGCATTTTAGAGTTGGTTGTATCATCTCTTTAACAAATACAAGGGAGTTTTGTGTAAAAAAAAAAATTGAAAATAAAATGCTGTCATTGAATGCTGAGTTAAATGAATTGTGAAAAAGAGGGAGGGCGAAAAATGATTAATGAAGTAACTTATACTGCTTTAAATCAATATTGCAACACATACCAAGTGTCCCCTAAAAGCTGTTTGAATTTTGATTGCTGCCACTTCATCCTTTGGTTTACCAGCAAAACGAGCAATTGGGGCAGGTTCAACCCTAACAGGTTCTATCTGAACAGAAGGAACGGGTTCCTCAGCATCCATGGCAGTTGCAACTTCAACAACATGATCATGATCATGACTGTTTTCAGTTTCAATATCAGTTATTTTAATCTCTTCTGGTGGAGGAGGAATAGATGGTGGTGTTTTATCAGTTTCTGGGTATGAGACTGAAGTCTGCAACTTTTGCTTCCCAAACCATTTCTTCTTAGATTTACTTGATTTCTGCAAGAACAATTGAAAAATAAAAATATAAGAAAATCCCAGAAAATCGAGGTAAGTTGAATTACACTTTATACAAACCTGATCTTTCTTCTCCTTTGGGTCAGGGCTGAGAGCCTTCTTCACGCTAGAAAACCAATTTCCTTTCCTCCCCATTTTCTTGGCATTCCTTAATTTGATCCTTTGCACCAAAATGAAAACAAAAGGAAATTTTAAAGATCTGAAACCTCACAGACTAAAACAATTAATTTTTTCAACAGAAATTCAATGGCATCTACTGATATTATTAAATGTCATAACTAGCACTACCAAATTTGACACCGGAAAGGGAAGAGTCTCAATAATTGTGAGAGCCTCCTAACACAATATAATTAATATTTTTCCTTTTCTAAGAAATGGAAAAGAACAATAAGCTTCTGCAAGAGAAAATTGTTATGAACATAAAAGGGAAACAGAGGTGAAAAAGGAGAAAAGAAAAAAGGAAACAGCTTTACGCTAAAAAGACACTCAAATTCCTAACAATCCTCGTTGTATATCAATTCTGCATTAATTCTACCTGGGTGCCCCATAAATGAAAGTAAATCACGTTACGAAACAGGACGTTTCTAAACCTAGTTCACCGAATCATACCAGTCAAAAAAAAAAAAAAACTGCTGAGTTAATTTAATTTCCCCTTTTGCATTTTCAGACAGAATCGCACACGAGAATTCAGATTCGAGAGGTGGGAGAGGCTTACAGTCAAAGTTGAAGTTACGAGGCTTCCAGCAAAGGAAAAAGGACTAAGAAATTGTGGGAACAAAACAGAACAAGAGGGAATTACAGAAATAGAAAGATGAAGTTAAAATTGAGGGTCAATGAAGAGAGTACCTGGAGTGTAACAAAGTGACAGATCTCAAATGTGTAGAAAAAGATTGGAACTTGGAAGATCACATTCAGAGTTGAAGCAAAGAAAAGGTTAGTGAAGAGGGAAAGCAGATCTTGGGAAATGGTAAGAGAGGAGAGTTTGAATTATAGGAACAGCTGCTTCCGCTAATATTGAGACCTTGCCACTTGGGTTGCTCACACTGGGCCCTCACCTCTTTTACCATCCTCCAAGAATCACAGTCAAGGATATATCTCCCTGTAAATGTAAATCAGTTTTACTTTTAATTATAAATATTAATTTTGTTTTTTTAGTTTCACAGTTTCATAAGTTTTACTTTTAATACCTATAGTGATAGAGAATTAAGACTAAAAAATATAAAAACTAAAATTAAATATTTTAACTATAAAATTTAAAAATAAAGTTATAAGAAAAATAAATGGTTAAACCTGGTTTAAAAATGTTATAAGACCATGATTATATAGTATTGTCTATAAATAACAATGTTTTTTTTAAAATGTTTAGAAATTTGACCTCCAAGTTTATATATAAGAAAATTTATCCAAAAATAATAATTTTTTAAATAAGGTTTTGTATTTTAAATAATTTTTTTAATGAATGAGAAATATAGTAAAAGAATGAGAAAGAAAAAGCTAATTACCTTAAAATACAAGATTTTTATATTCTCTCCATTTTTTATTCAGTCATTTAATGTTTTGCACGGGACTTAAGAAAATGATTAAAATTTTAATTTTTAAAAATATTTATTATTTACTTTCTTATTCTACCAACTATTTTTCTATAGTATTTCATTGGAAATATATTATCCTTTTAAATACAACATTAACTTCACATAAGTGGTTAGAGAAAAAATTGGTAGACATTATAAATAAATAGACACAATGTTCAGTAAACATACATTAATTATTAAGGGTAAAAATGAGAAAAAAAATTAATAAGTTATTGATTTTAGTAAAATAACAATAAAAAAAATGACAAATTCTAACAAAATGACTATGAATAAAAGATAGAGGGAGTAGCATCTACAAGAACAAAAATAGATAAAAGACCAAACAAAAAATTCATAAAAAGAATTAGCTCATAACCTTATTCATCATTCAGCCATTGGTTTCTGTTTTCATAAATATGTCTAAAAGAAATATCTCAAAAGGAGTGAGAAAAACTCTAATTTTTTAAAATAACTGTTGTTTAAGTTTTTATGGAGGAATTTTTGAAAATAAAAACATAGAAGAAACAAGTTATTAAATAAATAAGTGACATAAAGGGAAAATACGTATATAAAACGGTTGTAAAATATGATATATAAATTTATGATTTAATTTTTTTATAGTTTTATTAACTATATTTTTAAGTTCTTATAATTAAAAATATTTTATTTCAATTTTTACAGTAAGTTCTTATAATTAAAAAAATTTTATTTCAATTTTTACACGTATCAATTTTTTTAAGTTTTTATAACTTTATAAATTTTACTTTTTAATATTTATATAAATAGACGATAATGATTAAAAGAAAATAAAAATAATGTATATATAAAATAAAATAAAATAGTCTTTTAATTATAAAAAGTGAAATTAATAAGATTATAATAACTAGCAGGAAAAAGGCACTCTGTACCTGCATTATATTAAAAGAAAAATATAAATAAAAAAATGATAAATTACTCATAAGAAAGGTAGTTATTAAAAAATAAATAAAAAATAAAATACATGTAAAAATGAAAATCAAAAGTAGTTATTAAAAGTAGTATCTCTTTTATATATTAGTATTAATATAGATTTATTAGTTTCAAGTTTTTAAATTTGATTAAAAATATTTTTTCTAATTTTTTAAAATAAAAGGGTATAATGGTCTAAAAAAGTAGAGATCAAGGTGGTTACCAAAAGGTATTTGATATTCCCTTTATATATTAGTATTAAAATAAAAGAGTATAATTATCCAAAAAAAAAAAAGTGGAGATCAAAATAATTACCTTTATAAATTAATATAGATTAAAAAAAACTTAAATTTATTATAAATCTATAATCACCCACGGTGAATCGTGTCGGTGATGAATTGATGATGCCAAATGCGGTGCTGACAATTGGCGTGCATGGCATGTAGTAATTCATTGTTAACATTTTTAAAATTTTACCTATTATATTTGTTATTGTTTGGTGAAGCTAGAAAATAGATGCTATGTGGTTTGCTCCTTCTTTGGTTTCTTTCTACTAAAGTTATAATTGTACTGCTTTTTATTTTTTAAAAATTTGGTTTGTTATATACTTTTTATACAGTCTTTTTTTATATATATAAATTGTTATGGGATGTAAAAGTGTATATAAGAGTTCCTAGTATTTTTTACTAGATGACTAGGTGTAGTTTAGTTTATTTAGAGATGGCATAACTTGTTGAACAAACTTCTTTATCTACACATCTAAAAAAATTCCATAAATTGTGTACCACATCCTTTTCCCTGGTTCCTGAATTGCATCAAGTCTCGAACATATTAATGCAGAGAACCAGTTTTACTAATATTTGATTAAATAAGTATTAAATTTAATGGGGTTGGTAATCGAGCCTAGCAAAGTCAACTTTCTTTTAAATATACTACTGTAGCAAGGAGGTTTTTAATATAAATGCCTTAATTGCAATTTCCACCGTTACGAGTTTGTGACAACTTAATAAAATGCGTCATCAAAGTATGGTATGGTTAGAGCGTGATAGGGTTCATCACCCTTTCAAATTACTCTACTTGTATTTATCTTTTACCGGTATAAGTTTATTTCCCCTTAATTTTATAGGTAAATGTTTTAGGCATAATAAATACAAGTCACTAAATGTTGTTAACTATAGTAGTGTGATACAAGGTGCTTACCAATTCAACTGACAAGAGCAACCCATTTTTTTATTTTTCGTTCTATATGTTTAAAAATAGTGGTTTTATAATTATGTAAAAAGTTATCATATTGTAAAAACTACTAGTATCAATTTCGTTTACAAAAATTAAAATAACATTTATATTTCTTTAGTTTTTATTGTAATATTGTACATTTTGTTGATTATTATATTTTATCAACAATTATGTATTGTGGTGTTTTGAGGAGTGCTGTTGAGATATTTTAGAGTTAAAAAAAAAAAAGTTTAGTGTTTTAAATGGTTTCTCTCAGACTCAATTTGACTTTAGGGGAAATATGTAAGGTTTTTTTTTATAATTGAGTTTCATAAATTCATTCTCAAGATACATAGAAGGATACACCACAATGAAATACTCAAATTCTAATCTTCCCTTTCCTTTTCCCTTCTCTAGGTTCCTAGAAGACATAGGAGATAATTGTTGGTGAGATTCAAAACTTATAGTTGACAATCAAGATCGTGGTGTGTCGTGTGGTGTGGAGCTACCAGAAACTTGTAACCATCTTCTTTTTCCTTTTTTTCTCTTCATCTCAATTTGGAGATTTTTGGAGGCAAGGGAAACTATAACTGAATCCTTGTTGAATTGTTGTGCATGAGATGGTTACTAGATGGTTGTAATTGTGTTGTTGAATTGCATGATTTTGAGATTGGTTGTTGAGTTTTTTATGTCTTTGGTTTTCAAGAAGAAAACTTGGTAATTTTAAGAAATTGTGGTTGCATGTTGAATTTGAACCCAAATTCAAGTTGATGATGATTGTTATGTATAAAATGTTGTATTGCATGCTTGGTTATTTTGTTTTTCAGATAGTTTGGGTCAAATTTGTGAGTTTACAAGTACAAAACTCATTGTTATGCCTTCATGGCACCAGACGTGATTTCAACTAAGGGTACTCTGTCTTCCACATGCAGGGTGCAAAATTAGTGGCACCAAGTGTGAGGAGAGATAATTGCCTCAGATTAAAATGGTGTCGGTTGTAGTTTAAATGATGTCGATTGTAGTTTAAATGATGTCGAACATGAGGTAAAAGAATTGACTTTACTTAGATTGGCATTGAGTGTCAAAAGAGTGGTGTCAAACATGAGGAGAGAGACTCGTCTCTACCGGGATTTGAGCGTTGGACTTTGTCACACTAGGCGTGAGGGTCCAAGGGCCTCTACTTGGTCTACATCGGATGCAGGTAGAATGGCATCAAACATGGACAAAGCACATGACTCGTTGCCTTAATGGCGCCAGGCACGAGGTGGATACTATCAAGTGTAAGTTTTTCTTCAATAATTTGATGCTTGTATGATTGATCGGTGAACATGAATAAAATTGATGAATCTATTACATGTTGTATTTTGATTGTTGATATTTGATCTACATATATTACCTGAGATTATATATATAGATGATTGTATGTTTTTGGATCTATATTCATTAACCTATAATAATGCATATAAATGATAATTGTTTAAGTGTGATATTGAAAATGTTTTAGGCATTTAGGCAAAATTTATTAACTTGTGGGGGTGTTGGTGTTAAAAATGTTATAGGCATGTCCTGTTGATACACTGTTGATGTGTGATGCTGAGAATACTATAGGCATGTTGATTGACTTAAGATTGGAGAATAAATTATTTTTGAAAGTTAAATATCACATTTTGTGGATATTGGTATGGTGTTCCATAAACCCAATTGTTGAAAACCCTCCTTAAGTAGATGTTATTTCTCATAGTAGATTGTTAAGTCCCTATAGATCCTTAGTTGATATTGGAGTAAAGCATAAAATTAAGGACTGCAACCCTTAATTGCTTATTTGAGAGATGTGTGGTATCACAATGATAGTTAGTTGAATTGTAATCTATATGAGACTTGATAAAATGTATGTCAATGTTGTGGTAAACACATATCCAAGCTATGTTATACCAGACAATGGTATCGGACTTTCCTAATTTAAGGTTGCGATATCCAAGAATTCATGTTGTAGGGATTGATATCCCATTTAGTTGTTGATCTAGTAGGCGTGGAAAAAACCATGTTGGTTCGGTAAGGTTACGTCACTTAGATTGTTCATCTTGATGTAGGAGATCATTGTAAGTAAATGCATAATGATACATTAATTAAGATGTATGCATAGTGACACATTAGTTGAGGTGTATGCATATAATGTGATGTTACTTGGTATTCATATGTTTTGGTAATTACATGGTTGTGGCGTAAGTTTGATCATTTGCTTGAGTTATCTGTTTTTCAAGCTTATTGAAGTCATGTTGAGTGTTGTATGATGTAAGTCATGAGGGGGTGGTTTACATGCTATTATTGGCAGTATATTTGTATTTCATCTATACTTGTTATATTTTAATCTTTTTGAAAATTTAACTTATCCTTACATATTTTCTCGATGGTTAGATTGTAATGATCATGTTTACATGAGAGTGATGTAAGAATAGATGAAATGTTGATGTCTTTTAGGGTTATGTTGCTGGTGAGTATCTTAGTGTTACTATTGATGATAGAGTATAGTTTTATTGTTGTTTGACCGACAATATATATTAGAGTTAATCACCTATACACTGTCAGTTTTACACTGAAAACTAATTAGATCTTTTAATTGTGTCATGTCATTATAAACACATTTACTTTTAACAATGACATGACACAATTAAAAGATCTAATTTGTTACCCGTATAAAAAAACTTTGCACTGACAGTGTATAGGTGATTAACTCTATATATTATCTTTTGTATATTTAGGAAATGTTTATGTGTTTGCCTTAGGTAATTATTTATTTTTTCACTACTAACAATTAATTTATTAAATATATTAACTATAGTGTATCGTTATATTTATCGAAACAATTTAACTTTTTATAAGTAATTTGTCTCTTTTTTTTTATCAAAAGTATAATTGTCAAAAATTGAATCCATCGATTAATTAAACTTATAATTAAACACTTGGTGTGCGTTTAAAAAATTGTTAGAATGGGTTAAATAAAAAATTTACACATTAATTTTAATACATAAATGAAAAAGTAATGTGAATGATGAATTGAGTTGAATACATATTGTAAAGATGATTCAAACAATCCCAAATTTTTATTTAGTTTAACTTAGACTTCTAATCATCCCTAGCACGAGAACAGTGTGCGAAAACTTAAGAATGGAGCTAGTTATTTATTTATTTATTTTATTTGTGATCTTCTTGTCTCGTTTTTTTTATTATATTTTTTATATTTTTTATTTTAATTAACTGTTAGTTACTAGTAATTGTTAGCTAGTAATTGTCTCAAGCTATAATTTTAAAATATGGTATGTTACAATTACAATTTTTAAAAAAACGAGCTTATGAATCAACTTAAGCTTTTGTCAGTAAATCTTCCACGACTACATGAATGAATATTTTGCCATCATAATATACAATATAAATCTATATGATCTTATCCACACAATATATATTTATTATATTTTAATTTTTAAAATGTTTAATCTAGTCTTATTATTTTTAAATAATTTTATTTAGTTCATTAATTTTCAAAATTTGTTTAATATTATTACTTCTTTCAATTTTATTAACATTATTTGTATCGATTTGAATAGAAGAATAATATTAAATATTTTTTAAAAAATAGAGAAGTAAATTGAATCATTTACAAATAATAAGATCAAAACAAATTTTAAAAATAAATAGAGAGATAAACATAATTTTAAATTATGATAACATATTTAAAACTTACAATATTTTAAATAAAATATTATAATTACAATAAATTAATAATATGTCATGTAAGATTATTATTTATATATATACGACTATATATATAATAATATAAATTATTTAATAAAACTAGCAACAAAAATATAATTGTAATATATAACATAATGTAATATATAAGAAAAAATATGAAAGTCTACGGTAAAAAAAAAAAAAGACGAAACAATACTAAAAAAGGAGTATAAGAAGTATATTTAAAATTTTACACATTTCTCATTGATAATAGTTATTATTGATGTACAATTTTCTCAAAATTATGTGTAAAATATATATATTTTTTTCTAATAGTTATATGCATGATTTTGAGATACTTTCGCATCAACAATTTTTTTTAAGTGTTGTCTCTAAAATATAAATTATGGCCGTATATTTAAAATTTACAATGCCATACTTAAAAATAAAATATGATAAGATTGCTATAAGATAATGTATTATATATTTATATAATAGGAAAAAAAACATGTTAAAAATGTACATCTTTGACGTAAAAGTTAATAAAAACACTTTGTGATGATCAAATTTTCATCCAACGGTTGATATTTCAATTGAGTTCTTGCTAATCATGTAATAACGTCCATATTCTTAAGAAATCGATACTTGCCCTTATCTATAGTTTTACACTATGGGCATGAAATTCTAATATATAATTTTGAATATTTATAAAAAAGAAATATAATTTTTTATTCTAAAAATACTTTCTTTATTTACCAATTAAACTTGTAGGCATCGATTAACGGGCCTTTAAATAATAGGTGAGTAAATTTTGGCTGTGAACAACACATGCTTAATAATTTAACCTAATATTATTTTCACGGTTCATCCTAAGTTTAAAAATAATGATGATGTGCAATAATAGTAAGGTATGAATCGTAAATTTTACGCTCTTGAGGTCAGCCTAAACACGTGACTCGCTTTAAAGATCGATATGCAGTCACGTGAAAGACCGCTACAAAGCTATGCTCGTATTTCAATTCTCTTTATTTTTTATTTTTTATTTAATTCGGTGACTTAAATTTATTTACTTTTATTTATGTTTATGCATGCATATCATACATGCAACGCATTATACATACCCAGCGACTAGACACTACTATGCAACGCCGCCGCACTGAATCATACCCCTCAACGGTAACCAACACTAGCTAGTTTTTTTTTTTTTTTTTTTTTTTTTTTTTTTTTTTTTTTTTTTTACGTAATAGCTAGCTGGTTTGTCGTTCACTCGTTCACCAACCAAGCATGATAATATATCCACCAGAAAAAAAAAAAAAAAAACTAAGCAAATTAATGTTAATAATTTATAGGCAACTTTATCTATATTCCTTTTTTTTTGGTTGAAAAAGTACGTAATTATGCTTTTAAAATATGAATAAGCACAAAAAGTAATAATATACGATACATTTATTTATAAATACTTAAATGGATGGCATAAGTTGTATATGGAAATCCGGGCACATAGACAGCATGTTTGGGAGAGACTATATTCCCTATTTTAGTTTTTTTTTTTAAATTAAAGAAGTTGTATACAAGAAAAAAAAAATCATGTTTGAAATGACAATTTAAATTTGTAAATAAATTTTTTTGAAAAATATATTATTTTTATAAAGTTAAAAAATTGAAATTTATAATTATTTGCCCCCACACATTGATAATCGGAACAATATATACCAATTAAATGTTAATACAGCTCAATAGTCAATAACCATATCCCACAGCAATGACCATTTGTCATTTTTTAATATAGACGATATTTTAAATAGGATGAAATACGAAAAATATAATTTTTTAAAAAATAAGAATCATGTGCGAATATTGGTTATAATCGTGGGATAAGATACAAGTATCCCAAATTTTGAGAACTTTATATGAATAAAAAACTTCCAAATGATCTGACACAAATGCAGTGAAAGCTTTGTCCTCTCATGGGCTTCATGATATTTTCTTACTTATATTCGGATCCGAAAGAGGAGGCCCAAACCCAACTTTGATCCAGTTCTTTAACGAACCTTGTACACAATCAATAAAACAATTTGAGAGGTTGATGATGTATATACCTCTCTCTCTCTCTTTTTATTTATTTATTTATTTTATTATTATTATAAGTACACATTTTTATTTATTTTTAAAATTCAAAATATATATTTTAAAAATATTTTTATTTTACACTTCCAACTTTTAATATAGTACTTTTTTTTCACACACTTTCTATCCTTTTTCAATTTTTAATGAAATTACTTGTCTTCTTTATTCTTTACTATTTCATGAATGTGAAAACTAAAAGAGGGAGGCGGAGAGGGTAATAGTATAAAAATTGAAAAAGAAGAGAGAAAGTTAGTAATGTAAAAATTAAAAGAATTAAAATTACTTACTGAAATAGGTGAAAAGTAGAAAAAAGACAAAAATGTGCATGTAAAGATTGAAAAAAAAAATAAAAAAAAGTGTGAAAAAGAAGAAGAAAATGTTAAATTGAGAGTTGGAAGTGTAAAATAAAAAAAAATAAAAAATATTTTAAAATTTTATTTGAAAAAAAAAAAAGAAAAGAAAAGGAAGTGTAGTTATAAAAAAAAAAAGAAAAAAAAAAGGGAGCTGGATATATCATGATCCACAATTTGATCCTCAAAAGACAAGGAAAAATAATAATAAATTCGGGAACCTTTTCTGAAACATATAATATGTGCTTTAAATCTTTTTGCTTCTTAGCAGAAGACCCTCTCACTTACATAAGCTAACAAAAATTCGAAAAAAGGAAGAATCAACAAACCTATAAACAATTAAACATACGGGTAAATTTGCAAAAGAGAAAAAAAATCAAAAAATTCTATATAGTAGTAGGAAAATAATTCCTGTGCTGCCAATTTCTATAGTGCTTCAACACTCGTTATTATTTTCTGTGTTTCCCCTTTGCCTTGGACTAAACTCTAGAAATTATTGTTTTGAAGTGGTTCGGGCACGAAAATTGAAACGCCAGAGCAAGATTTTGGAGCAGCCCTCGGGTGGAATTCCCTTTAATTTAGCCTCGTCTTCTAGCACTACTTGCTTCACGAACTTGATTGAATTCTAGTAGAACCACACAACAAAAGGCATAATTAATAATAAGGACAAAAATAAAAAACAAGAAAACTCCTTGGTAGAGATTATTTCTAGGTGATAATGATGTGTATGTTGTCAATTTGTATTTCAAACGAACAAGGTTTTCTAATTGAGATAATTCTGAAACTTGAAATTGGGTTGTGTCTTGGAGTAAAAGGAAACATCATGCATTATCACCGGTATTATGCCGGAGTAGAAAACACTTCATAATTAGTACTCTTATTAGTTCAACTGGTCAATCAAGGTGTCATTATATTACCTAATATCTTACTCTTTTTCTCCCTTTGAGTTTTTTCTTTTTCAGGTAGTTGGAGGTTGGCCAAACGTTAACTTAAACAAGGTTTCTATTTTCAAGAGATCAAAGAGACCCAATCTAGTTTTATCCGATAAGACTCTAGGTTAAACTAATGATATTGAAACAATCCATTCATATTTTTCATTTTTCTTTATCTTTTTCTCATTATATTTATACTTCCTTCTCTTTTTTTTCTCTATTATATTCTATATTTTCTTAATGATAAGGATGTTGGTGTTTTTTTTTTTTTTTTTTTTAAGGGAGTCTAACTTAGTTAATAGGATGCATAAGTACTATAAATTTCTTAGTAACTTGTTTGATTTCTATGGGTAAAATTTGAATTTAAAATTCTTTGGATATATTATCGGAGTGCTTCATTATTATATCAGCTTTAGTGGTTTGTATTGTTAATATACGGAATATTGATTAAAGAAATAAATAAAAAATTATAAGGTTTATTAAAAAACTTGAAGTAATTAAAGTAAACTATTAAATAGTTTTTCAAACAGTATTGGACACTCGAAACGTATAAATAAAAATATTTACCTGAGAAGTGTCTTGAACAGAGGAAGTGCGACCCCATCTCTCAGGGTCCCAAAGGATGGAGCTATTGAATGCAAAACTTGAAATATGAATAGGGGGAGTGATTGTATCAGTTTCGTTGTTCATATTCCTTAGATGCCAACCAATGACTTGTGACGAATCGCATACAGGTCCTTCGATTTTCACTTTCTTTCTGTTTGCAGCTAGCAATGCAGTTGGCCACGTTCCAAAGACCCTGCACATTAATCAAATGAACAAGTGGACACGTTAGTAAGAAAAACCACCTCGGAGGTGTGAAATATAATGCATGATTGCTATTACCACCCATGTTTGGTACACCAAAAGATTTCATACCACAAAATCGTTAATGCTTAAAACTATACCACCCACTACATATATAGGAGTAGAAATGTAGAATAAGCACCAGAAACTATCACATTTTCTCCCCACTAAAAATTGCCCCCCAAAGATATAAAGTGATTAGAGAAAATAGATTATACTTCGACACTATCTAAAATTATTTTAGATAGTCCTTCAATTATAAACCATCATGTATGATAAGTTTATTGACTTTTATGATAATTATTTTAAAAATCATGTATTAGTAAAGATTTAATTGGTTTATAATAAAAAAAAATTATACCGATAATACGTACTCATTAAACCTAAGTAATTAATAGTTTACTAAAAGTAGTATAGCAAAAAGAATCATACTCAATATCCCTAAGCTGGTGGAAGAATTGGAGATCATAAATATTGGAAAGGCCAGCGAAGTGTACAATGCCATTGAGCCTGTGGTGCGCAATGTGCTTAAGAGCAAGATGTCTCTGGTGATTCAGTTCAGCTTCTAATTCTGTGAAGTTTTCCTTGAAAACCACATGCCTATACATGATGCCAGTCTTCCTTAGTATCTCTGGCAATTCAGTGGAATTGGTTTTAGCCTCCACCACAATCCATAACAAAGGTTGAGGAACGAGCTTTATAGTATTTGCCAACCTTCTCAAAAACACTGCTTGGTGGGGTAGCTTTGTGCTTGTTGGAGTCACAATGATTATGAGTCTTCTAGGCTTCAACTGGGGCTCTGCTTCAACATGCAACTTTGTTCTTGTTTTTTTCTTTTCAATGGTTCTAGGCGTTGGAGCAATCCAACTTGTATTGACATTTGTTGTGGCGAGGTGTGACATTTCACTAGGTTGTGGTGCAAATTCTGTCCTATTTGAGACAACAACTTTGGTGGAAAAGAGAGAAGATTTACCTGTTGGAGCTAAGCCTGTGAAAAAACCCATCACAAAACATAGGGAAAAATGGAGCATGGCCTTCTTCCATAGAAGAACCTTCTTCTTTGATCTTTCTAGTGAACCCATATTCTCTAAAATTGACCACCTGAAGCACAATCTTCAGGGTGGATTGGAATGAATGAAGAGAGAGGAGGGTTGTGGAATCTAATATAAACTAAGATGCTTTAAGAGTACCACATTTTTGTTAAGGAAAATGTTGCAACCATTGAGCTTATGATTGGTACTGCCAAACTGAATGCTTAGCTTTTTCGTTTGGAGGCACTTCATAGGAGGGTGGCTTCACTTGGTTGTCACTTGAAGTAAAAGTAATATAATAAAAAAAAGCTAGTGTGAGACCATGAGTTGTTATCTACACCAAATTGCAGTTGGGATGGCACCTATCCATCTACAAAGAATATGTCGTACCAGGTCATTTAACTAATACTAGTAATCATGCTCGTCGTGTTAGGAATTTAATTTTTAATTTGAGGTTGACTAGTCCAATATAAGGAATCTGAAGAAAAAATTAATTTAACAATGACTTTGGGATCTCTTTCAGAACAATTATGATTTTGGAGAAAAATTATGGATTATAGAAATAATTATTATGAGCATAATGAATCTTTTGGCAATTAGTTATAGAATTATTCTAAGGGGTGGGTGAGTGAGGAAGTAACCTTTGCAGTGGGTGGGTTTGGACTTTGGATCATTGAGAGCGTGTCCAAAAAATAAGGTCTGGGCTTCCGAAGCACTATATGTTAAGGATCACCTTTCACTAAGGCCCATTACAAAAGCATACAATTTAGTCTTCGAAAAAAAAAAGGAAAATAAAAATAAAGCATATTTACATGAGGACGTTACTTATGGCATAACAAAATAAAAATTTAATATATATTAAAACAATAATAATAGTTAGGATATTTTTAGTACACATTAGTTTTTAATGATGATTAATAACAATTACTAAAAATGTTAGGATATTTTTTTATTATAATTTTCAATATAATTCATAACTGATGTAAATATCACATTATTGTTTTTTTTTAACATTTTAAAAGATAAAAATACAATTTAAATAATCTTGCCATCATACTAGAATAGAACATCATTTCAAAATTTCATTTCTATATCTTAATTATATTTATTAATTTCAGAACAAAAATAAAAAACGGAGGAAATAAAATCGTTATTGAGTTTATTGCGTTGTTTGGTAGTGTAAGACAAACGTAACATACCAAAGTAGCACAAGTACTTTGTAACGTTTGGGTGCACTCTGAAGAGTTGTTAGTGACTCGAGGTACGTTGTTTTCAGTAATACTGTTTTGCTCAATGAACATTTAATTTGGAAGACAAAGTTTTTCTACGTTTAATTATCAAACTATTTTCATGTGTGTCATTGGTGCACATACACACTTTTTCAAACTCCTTGTCTTTGAATTTTGAATGCAATTCACTTGCATACCAACTGTTCGAAAAATGGCCACCAAGAGCGGCTTGGAAGAGACCTGTAGCAGAGTCTTTGACATGGCACATTTCCATCTTTCACGCATTAACACTTGAGAAGTAAATACGAGAGTTTGGCTAGTTTCACAAATTGAACGAGATGACATATTAGTTAATTGGCCATTTTAGATTGTGGATTTCTGATTTTTACGGAACAATGCCCAAGTAAAAGAATCATAATTCATATACTTATGTTTGATTCCTGCAGAAAGAATCTCTCCACTTGGTTTTGATGATGGGTTGGATGAAATTCCATGTCAGTTTGTCTGTCTAATCAAACAACATAGGTAACATCTTTGACTATCAGAGTGGCTCAACTCATAGATGATGTCCTTGGTTTCGTAGATTCCCTTTAGTATTTTATCCATCATTGTTGTCAGAAATGAAGTTTCCTTTGAAGAACATCAAATTGTACTGGCTGCTTGCTCTTACCTCTTGAGCTCATAAAGATAGAGATGGTAGATCAAGATGGAGGCTTTAGCGGAGGGTACTACTTCCTAATCATGCAGTCTCTTAATTTATATTTAATACATGGCTTAACAGATGTACTGCCAATGGGTTCATCCAATTATCGATTTTTGGTTTCATTAATCAGAAGCACTCATGTGACCTCTTTGCTGTCCTGACACCGTATTACCCAATAAGGTTCTCAACTACAACAAGAGTTACACTTCTCTTGCTTTTTAAATATCCCTTGTCCATGATCATTCAAAGTCAAATTCGATGTATATATAATTACGTAAGACCTATTGTACCAACAACAACCATCTCCGGTCTCAGTACAGAGTTATCAACCAACAGTTACATCAACTTGATGTGTAAGCAACAGCATTACAGAGAAGCACTAGATGCATTTAATTTCCATCTAAAGAATTCGAGTATCCAGCTTGAACCAAGCACCTATGTGAATCTAATCTTGGCCTGCACCAACTCTAGATCTCTTAAATATGGCAAGAAAATCCATGATCACATTTTAAAATCCAACTATCAACCAAACCTTGTTCTCCAAAATCATATTCTTAACATGTATGGAAAATGTGGATCTTTGAAGGATGCTAGAAAAGTTTTTGATGCAATGCAGTTGCGAAATGTGGTCTCTTGGACTATAATGATTTCTGGATACTCACAGAATGGTCAAGAGAATGATGCCATCATCATGTATATTCAAATGCTGCAATCAGGTTATTTCCCAGACCAGTTAACATTTGGAAGCATAATTAAGGCTTGCTGCAATGTGGGGGATATAGAGTTAGGCAGGCAATTGCATGGTCATGTCATTAAATCAGGGTATGATCATCACTTGATTGCACAAAATGCTCTTATATCAATGTATACAAAGTTTGGACAAAAAGCAAATGCCTCAGGTGTGTTTAGTGTGATTTCTACAAAAGATTTAATTTCCTGGGCTTCCATGATTACGGGGTTTACCCAACTTGGTTATGAGATAGAAGCTTTATATCTTTTCAGAGATATGCTGAGGCAGGGTGTTTATCAACCAAATGAGTTTATATTCGGCAGTGTATTCAGTGCTTGCAGAAACCTTCTAGAACCAGAATTTGGAAGGCAAATACATGGAATGTGTGTTAAATTTGGTTTAGGGAGGAACGTATTTGCTGGGTGCTCCCTCTGTGACATGTATGCAAAATTTGGATTCTTACCTTTAGCAAAAAAGGCTTTTTATGAAATTGAAAGCCCTGATTTAGTATCATGGAACGCAGTTATTGCAGCTTTTGCTGACAGTGATGATGTTAATGAAGCCATATCTATTTTCTGTCAGATGATGCATACAGGATTGATGCCAGATGACATTACTTTTCTCTCCTTACTTTGTGCTTGTGGGAGCCCTGTGACACTTAATCAAGGCACGCAAATACATTCTTACATTATAAAAATAGGTTTGGATAGGGAAGCAGCTGTATGCAACTCTTTGCTGACCATGTATACAAAGTGTTCAAATCTACATGATGCATTCAGTGTTTTCAAAGATATAAGCAACAATGCCAATTTAGTTTCCTGGAATGCAATTCTATCATCATGCTTGCAGCACAAACAAGCAGGAGAGGCTTTCAGATTATTTAAGCGTATGCTTTTTTCTGAAAATAAGCCTGACAATATCACGATAACTACCATATTAGGAACTTGTGCAGAATTGGCATCTCTAGAGGTTGGGAATCAAGTCCATTGCTTTAGTGTTAAAAGTGGCCTTGTGGTTGATGTTTCTGTCAGCAATAGATTGATTGACATGTATGCAAAGTGTGGATCACTTAAACATGCTCGAGATGTTTTTGATTCAACCCAGAACACAGATGTTGTCTCATGGAGTAGTTTAATTGTTGGTTATGCTCAGTTTGGACTTGGACATGAAGCTCTTAATCTCTTTAGAATGATGAGGAATCTTGGTATCCAGCCTAATGAGATTACATATCTGGGGGTTCTCAGTGCATGCAGTCACATCGGATTGGTGGAGGAAGGCTGGCACTTGTATAAAACCATGGAAGTGGAACTAGGGATTCCACCAACTAGAGAGCTAGTTTCTTGCATGGTTGATTTGCTTGCTCGTGCTGGATGCTTATATGAAGCAGAGAATTTTATTAAGAAAACAGGACTTGACCCTGACATTACTATGTGGAAAACTCTACTTGCTTCTTGTAAAACTCATGGAAATGTTGACATTGCAGAGCGGGCTGCAGAAAATATACTAAAAATTGATCCTTGCAATTCTGCTGCTCTGGTGCTACTTTCTAATATACATGCTTCTGCCGGAAATTGGAAAGAATTTGCCAGGTTAAGGAACTTGATGAAACAAATGGGTGTACAGAAGGTTCCTGGTCAAAGTTGGATAGAAGTTAAGGATAAGATCCATGTGTTCTTCTCAGAAGATAGTTCCCATCCACAGAGGGCCAAAATCTGCACAATGCTTGAAGATTTATGGTTGCAAATGCTGGATGATGGTTATGATCCATCTCAGAGCTTAGACATTAGCATTTGGTAGGAACTCAACTGGTTATGATCCTCTTCCAAAATCTATATTGATTATGAACTACCTCTAGAATCTAGATAGGTTGAGGCAGCACTTGAAGAAATTTTTTGTTTTGATTGATCCCAAGAGTTGGTGACACTATTAATTTGAAAATGCAAAATCTTATCATTATTCCTATTTTATGTAGTAGCAATTGGCAGTGTTTTTGTGCATGACTTATTGGCATCTTGATCTAGGTATCACTGAACTATCTATTCTACCTGTAAGTCAATTTTTCACAAGCAGGTTACTGCTTTAACTGAGCCTAACGTCTCCGTTCCGGTATAAACCTATTTCATCTTTTCAGAGCTTTTAGGCAACAATGCTAATGACATCCTTAATTCCTTATTTTTCCTACTTTTGCTGCATTTGGCATCAATTATAGTGATCAGTTATTTGTTACATTAAAATAAGAAAGTCGAATGTGTGGTAGGAACATTTTAACACCCAGTCATTTGCATTTATTTTCTTAACATAACCCGTGCGTTCAACAGGGCTATTTTAACCATTGTTGCTAGAATAACAGATCGATCTATTTCATCTAATTGAGAATCCGACACTAAACCAATTTAGCTATCTTTGAACGCTAAATTTGCAGAAAACTGGTGTAGAAATGGTGCGAGATAAATTCTCTGCATCTAAAAAATATATTAGACTCCAATTATTCTTAAACAAATTGAATTGAATAAACTCCGGATTTCTTTTTCACTCACGAAATTCCAAGTTTTAAAAATTTCATTCTCCTAACTACATAAACCATCAAGTCTTGGTTGAGCTTGAGCCATCTCTTATCACTAGTTTTAACTAATTACATTATTCTTAAATAGAGTATAAACCAATAACTTTTTTTCTCGTATAAACCGATAACTTCAACTAATGTTTATTACTATTTATGCTTATACTTTTCCAGAACATGCAGTTCATGCACAAAAAGAGCCATGGGTTAAGAGATTAAGTGGATAGTTTCTTCGAAAACTATTTGATCCCGAACGAAACTCTAGGTAGGCCACTAATCTCTTTCGTAACGAAAATGTAAAATGAATAATTATTACATACTTACAAACAGGGTATATATTGCAATAAATGCCCTGGCATTTGTACAATCATCATAATACAGTGAGAAAGCAAAATACGCAATTACCAAAGGATGCAGAAGCATATTAATTTAACGGCTTTATGCAAAACAAAACTAAAACAAAGTATAATAATATTTATAACACTTGATAATCAAAATAAAATGATCCGTATCACCCATCGCAATAAAAAAATAAAAATAAAGACATTTAGTGAAAAGGAATTTCTTAAAAGTCTATCAAACCAGACAATTCTAGTGTCTAGGGGTCAAAGAAATTAGAAGTTGACTACAAGGCGAGGCACAAAAATTCTATTTCATACGATATTACACTTGGGTTGGGATGACTACAATGAGGGCATTATGATGCTGTATATGATGAGGCGACAATCATGGTTTAAACTTTAGGCAACAGTGCCACCCCACTCCCTTCCCATAGTGTTTAAATTTTGGGGAAGGGCAACGAAGAAATCTTACTTGACACTAGGTTGTCTGGCCTATTAAGAAATAAACACTACCGTAAATTTCAGGGTTAAAAAATTTTCCCATTCTGTGCTTTTATAAGTCGGGTTTTGTTGAGATTGATTCTCTTTTGGGCCGGTGTTTCTTCCACTTCTTTTTGCGCAACTCCATGAGCCAGGATGGAACCTCACATCCCGATGCTGCCATAAGATTAGCAACATTCTTTAGGAATGGAATGTCTTCCTCTGTGTAAAAAGTAATCGCTTCTCCAGTCCTCCCTGCTCTGCCAGAACGACCTATTAAAAATCATTTTTTATTAGCAAATAACAATAATTTGAAGATATAGCAAACAACAGAGAATAATACAAACTATAGACCTTTTAAATGTCTTTTCTCGAATCTAAAACAACATTAATATAACTGCACGTACCAATTCTGTGGACATATGCAGCAGCTGAATCTGGGAAATCATAATTGATCACACAGTTCACACCTTTGAAATCCATGCCCCGGGCAACTACATCGGTAGCAATTAAAACCCATGTTTTTCCAGCTCTGAAGTTATCAACAGCATTTTCTCGCTATATACAATGCAAGAGATCAGAATTAAGGAAATCACTAAAACTGCTAAATTAACAAGTATGCTGTAATATTGGATTACCAATTGCATATGATAACAGAGATTAAAACAGAATTGTGATAATCAGAGTAAGCAATATGAAAGAACAGTAGTCACATGGAACGTTATATTTATATATTTGAAATCTTCGTACATATAGTGAAGACCAGACCTTAGTCACACACTTAATCAGTTTTCTTTCTTATTTTGGTGTATTTTTTGAAAGGGAGGGGAAATGTTTAAGATTTTCTTCTTATTTTCAATCAATATCTTGTGTTGTTCAAAAGGGTTGTTGAGAACTACCTCTTCTTGAGTCAAATCAGAATGGATGACATCAACTCGAATGTTGTCAAATGCAAGTTCACCATACAGCTCCTTGGCTCGCTCCTTGCTTTGGAGAAAGACCAATACCGGAGGATTTAGACTCTGCAATATATTGCAGTAAATGAAATGGTCAACAAAGGCAATCAACTAAAAAATACCAATAAGATTGAGCTCAAAGGAGGCAGTGGGGACTACAATATTATAGGCTTTCCACAAAGCCCAAAGTAAAGCCAAAGCTAAGTGATACAGCAATAAGTATTCCAAGTCATTTAATATTATGTTCATGACAGATTATCTAACACCAAACCAAGAATAACATAATGTTTAATTGAGAAATGCTAGGAACACACTTCATTTGATTGGTTGAAATTTATTAAAAATCACAAAATTTGGTAGATCCTACATCTTATTTAATGAATCTCTCGCATAATTTTGTAGTTTTCAATTTTTTTTATTCAATAAGTGTTAAGAGGAGCGTAATATAGAGTGTATTGCCAGGAATATACTATCCAACACACTCTTTTGAACATGTTTCATCCGACTGGTTGAAATTTATTCGAAAAAAAAACACAATTTGGAGTCTCACTTTATTTAATAAATTTCATGATTTTGTAGTTAGCAATGAATTTTAACCAACAAACGAGTGTGTTAAAAGGAGTGCGTTAGAGAATGTATTACTAACACTCTTCATATTTAATTATATATACACAACACATAATCAGTAAAACAAACATCAGCCTCCAAAATAATAATAACAGGAAATACATATTAATAGTAAATTGCAGTGCAATTCTAATTTATTTTGAAACATACATATGTCAACTAATGTTTAACTGTGAGACACACATCCTCTTGATGCATAAGAAAATTGGACTGACTAGCATTATTTATCAAAAACTTTAGTATAAGCAATTTACCTCTGCAAAGCTTTGACGAATTGCCAGAAGTTTTCCTTCTTCACTTCCAGTAAAAACCAATTTTTGCTTTATTGTTTCTGAAGCCATATTCCTGATCCACATAAAAGCATTAGAAATCAACTATAAAATAATTGTATTAACAATATGCTCAGGAGCATCATGTTAGTAAATGTTTTGCAACAAACTTACTTCCTGCCAACAATTACACGAACAGCATCATGCATAAGTTCTCGAGCTCGATCTTCAACAAAATCAGGTAAAGTAGCACTGAACAATGAGCGTATTATGGAGGGATTTGAGCATGCCTTGATAACAGAATCAATCTGCTTGAATAATTCAGGTTCAAATAGCTTATCCGATTCATCAAGGACAAGATACTCAACTCTGAAGCATCCAAAATAGTTGGAAGGAAGAAAGAAAATCAATAAATTGAGCAATTTAATAAATTGCATCACATAGCTGCTATTGACTTTGTAGACACAATTGTAAGATACATCTAAAAGCATCTAGCAAAAATGTGTAATGCTTAAAGTTTTAAGTGAAGCTACTCCTGTTGCAGTTGACCCATGCAGTTTTAATTGACGTGTGCAATCAAATTTATCAATTCATAACATAATACTTAATTGATATTTGAGGAGTAAAACAAATGCCGAATAATTTTGTGGAATATTTAGTGGATATTTGGTTCTCGCAACTTGTACGAAAATATTCTTTCAGCAATACTTTTACCACTAAAACAACACTTACATAAACTATTAAGTGGACTTTAGACAATACAACTGGCCAGATCCAAAAATTCAATCATGCCTGTCAGGGCTTATTGTTTGCGAGTCTACAAATGATCAACTGATTTATGTATATGCCATTTAGTATATAGGCTCAGATGAAAAATAAAGGTTATAGTGCAACTAGTTACCAGCAGTGCCTACTAGTCTGAATGGTTTAACTTTAAACTAGTAGGAATACTAACACTATATAGCTTATAGCTTATTGATCTTCCAAAACAAGCTTCATTATAATCATAACTATTTCAAAGTTAATTTCATCATCAAATAAATAAAATGTAGTTTGACGTTAGCACATGCAGCCAAAAAGAGTGAAATTGTGAAAAGACTACCTCATATCAAAGAAAAATATAAACTCATACCGAAGCAGCAAAGAGAATGGATACTAACAGGAAAAATGTCCCTCAAGGCTATCACATGTTCCATATCAGGAAACCATTTCATATCAAGTATGCAATTGATTGATAATTAAGAAAGCAAAGTTAAATCAATTATTATGACCAGAAAACTACAGTGAGCAGCGAAAACCATCTACACAAACACTTAAGGTAATCCTTGTGGATAACAAATGCATGTACTGTAAATCTCTAACAGCTACTTGATTAGAATTTTAAGGATTTCAAGTTTAAATCAATGAGACTAAATTCATCATCACACACCTGCTGAGATCAACCTTCTTCCTCTTGATAGCCAAGCGTAATCGAAGTGGTGTGGTTATCAGTATATCACATGGAAATTTTGAAAAATCAGCATTTCTTGAAAGATGTTTAGTCATTAACTTGATACGAAATTTTTTTCTCTTGGAAAGCTTTTTGCACTCTCGATATGTTTGAGCAGTTAATTCACGAGTAGGACAAAGGATAACAGCTCGAATCCCATCTTTTTCTGGAGTCTGTAAAACATAGTTGATTATATGAACCACAGACACAAGAAGATGGGAACTACAAACACAGTTGGAGAAAATAAGCAATACCTTGAGATTTATAAGCATTGGACAAACGAACGCAAGGGTTTTCCCAGAGCCAGTTGGTGCACAAGCAAAGCATTCACGACCCTATCCCAAATAATCGAAGAAATACAGCAGCGAAAACACTATTATGTTAATCCCTAACTCAAGGACAATGTAATGCGCGCATGGATCGTTATCGAACTTTTCAGTAACAATTTTCTGAAGACAAAGTCAATCACAAAATAATTATAGCAAAGACAGAAAATCCATACTTGTAAAAGTACTGGCATAGCCTGCCTTTGGATAGGCGTTGGTTCTTTGAATCCAAGTTCCTTCAGATTGCGCAACAAATATGAAGGACAGTTATATCTGCAAACAATTCATTAAGATTCTGAATCGCGGAATAAGAAGCAAAAGGAATACGAAGCGGTTCCTAGAAATGGCATAACATAATATTCACATAAAAGATACCTAGATTTCAACTCATCAAAGCTTTGAAGCGGAGACGGCACGTTATAACCAGAGACATGAAGGTTGTGCTTCTTCCTGAATATAGCATCGCGCTGAAAACACATAAAAAATAATAAATAATTGCACAAACTTGAGAACAATCAGAATCATGCAAATTACACAAAAAAGAAGAGGAACCTCGAGTTGCCTATTGTGCTCCTTCTTATTCAGCTCAACGGACTCCTCTTCAGCTCGAACTTCATCATTCGACTGCGCCACAGACGTCGAATTTCTGAACACGCTGAATCCTTCAACCGCTTCTTTTGTTCCCTTGCGCTTCCTCTTCTTCGTAGACGTTGTTCTCTTTTCCGCTGTTTCTATCGTTGTCACGCTTTCGTCTTCTGTGGCGCTCCAAATCTTCGCGGAATCGGTATCGCTATCTTTTTTCTTCTCAAATTCAAGGAAAACTAAGAGTTATTGATCTGTGGCATAACGGCGAAGAGGTGAACGAAGAGGAAGAGAGATTGGTACCTGGAACCTCGCAATGTCGGAGCCGAACTTCTTTCTATCGAAACGAATGCCAGAGAACAAAAACGACGAGTCGTTGGCCATTGGGAATTGGAAGCAAAGAAAGGAATTAGGGGTTTATGCAATGAATAACGGCTTTGTGGTCGTTGCACTCTTCTTTGGTTCGCTGCGGCTGGTCACTTCTACTGTGTTGTCGTTCTGCAACTTTTGAAGGAAGGTAACCAAAACCAACTACACATGGTTTTTTTTTATAAAAAAAAAAAACACCTTTGGTTTTTATTGGCCCATATTTTTAGTGTTTTGAAATGAAAAAAAAAATATTGGACCTGATCCATTTCTTTCGTTTTTATTTGGGCCAACCATCTTTCAAGAAAAAACATAAAATAAAAGCTGATGGTAGCGGGCTGAATGGCTAATGTGTTGAAGTTACATGTGAAAAGAAAAGAAAAAAAATGTATATATAAATATTTGGTCCTTATTTAATTTTAATTTTTCCAAAGCTTCTTGGGAAAATTGTTGAGACTAATTGCCATGAAACAAGGCCAAAATTAGAAGAGGTGAACTTTCATAACAAATTTCAACTTCCTTGAGTTTATCCACTAGGGTGTGGAATTTTAATACTATTTTGGCCTTTTCTTTTTAAGCAATCTATTTACATGACCATTCAATTAGTATGATCTATCTTATTTCTATTGTTTATGTTAGTCTAAACTCAAATTGCTTGTAAAATGTTCCATTTTCCTTAGAGAATTGATGCGTTGTGCTTTGTCCTCCTAAATTTGTTTTTTCTATGATTGGAGATGTCTTATATAATCAAATTTATAAATATGCGTACTGCCAAAAATCTTTTGATACAATCCATGATCGAAAATCTTATCTTTAGTCCATATAAATTATTTTACTAATTATCTCAATTTGGCTATGACCAAGGAACTCCTTCTAGGTTAAGGTTTCAAATGAAGGTTGTGATGAAACATATGACTTGAATTTCAACTCTTTTGAATACCATGGAGTATCGGCATCCAAACTGAGTGAGAAACTATGTTAATTGCTGATAGAACAACAAAAAGTAAGATTGTGAAACTAAAATTTGAACTAAACCTTAGTCAATTTAAACTCCTCGAAAAGGAAGATGAACTCGTAGAAGCAAGCTTGTGGAACTAGAATATGAACTAAACCTTCGTCAATCTAAACTCCTAGAAAAGGAAGATGAACTCCATTCATTAAAGAACAGTGAAAATTAAGAGTGCACAAAAAAATGAACCAAACTAGCGTTAAATTAAATTAAACTGCACTATAAAAAGTTAAACTATTTTTATAAAAAGGTAAATATTAAATGTGTCTAAAATAATTTGTCTTAATGAATTAGTTCTATACCTCAATGACCCAAACTTAAAAAGTGATAAAAAAAAGTTGTGTCAATTTGACTGGACTTGATCGACCACAAGACTATGTTGAACCAGTGATTTTTAAACTTCAAACCTACTACATATATTTGTCTCGCTATTATATATATATATATATATATATATATTCCTTTGAAAAATTCAAAATATCATAAAAGCGACTCTAATGTAGATGCCCTATCATCCACCTCGGTGGCTCGTGCTAAAGCCACGGCCAAAGTCAATGGGGGTGATACTTCTATCACTTCGTCCCCACTATCCTCCTGCTCAGCAAAATCGGAAGGAAATACCACTTCACATTGTAAGGGAGGCAACCGTGATATTTCACTTGAACCTGATTCCTCTCGATCCGACGAACGGCCCGACGCCTCCGAAGATGTACAAGTCCTACCCGAGGAATAGTCCTTATCCATTTATTAAGCAGAATAAAGAATACAAAATTTACCTTTGATCGGTTTGCTCGATTACTTCTGAAGTCGAGAGCGCTCGGCAAATTTACAGCAAGTAAGTTCACCAGCAACCCCTCCCCTATTTATAGGCAAGGTAAATGGGGGAGGTGAAAAGACGTCCCGACACCCCAGCCGTTCGATCTAGGCCATCCAACGGTCTAGATTTAGTAACCGTTGGACCCGTAACCGC